GGTCTTGGCCATTAAACTCCCGGGGTGAAAAGTTTCCCCACTCCGCCCCTGTCCTTCTCCTCTCTGTCAACGCTCTCTGGTTTCATTTAAAAGAGTCGATCATCAGATATTGTCCAAGATTAACCTTCAGGGTGGATATAGCTCGCTAGCAGCCTCGCACCAAGGACCTATCCACGTCATCATTTACCCAGAATGCTTTGTGTGTAAATAAAATGGACCTGTCCGTGTAATATATTTTTTAAACTTTTAGTTAAAAAATGATCAAAACTGAACAGCCTACAGTATTTTTACAGTCCTTATTTTACAGTTAAAATAAATGTTTAAAGTCTAATGTTACGACTAATCATGGATCCCTTTAACATAGTACTGAGTAGCATTCATAAGAACATAAATGTCATGTCATACCTTGCTTTTCTTTTGAATCCACTTCCATACTTGAAGGAGACTCATCTGCAGACGATGACTCTGTCTTAGTCTCTTTACCATCCGTTTCTTTTTTTATGTTTTCCTCAGTCTTCTCTGTGGAGTCCAGCTCTTGAGCACATGGCTTAGAGAGACATGTGGAGTTTTGATCTTTTGCGTCGATGTTAGGCGCGGCACAGTCCTGAGTCTCTGGTGCGATTACACTGGGCCGTCGGCTCAAGTCCAGCAGGGAACATTTCTTGCCCAGTTTAGCATCTTTTGAAAAAGAGAAGTAGAGAACTTTTTTTATTTTAATTTAAATGAACATAAGTAATTTAGCAGCTCCAGCCATTTGTGATTAAATTACAAAACCTTAGAAAACCTGAGTAGGATTTGAAAGAAGACCAATCAAAAACAGGAAAAGCAAAATCCCTAAACCTTTCCTTAGCTACTGTCAAAATAACTAAAATCTTTTTAAAGTTATAAATCTATAAATCTAGCCCAGGACTTTTTGTTGTTGATTTTTGGAATTGATAAAAAATAAAAATAAAAATAGTGCTTCATATAATCAAAAACTTGTTCTAGACCTTCCAGTTCTTTGCGGTAGTTGGCGTTGGTGTTGCCAGGAAGCTTGGGTTCAAAGCGTGGTACGTAGGTCTTACTGATCCAACTCCAGCCTCCGTAACCTGTAACACGATACTCCTCTCCTTTCTGCTTCCACACCTTTATTTATGACAAGACGTGGAAAAAGACACACACAGAAAAAGATTAACACTGCAATAGAAAATATTAACAAAAATCCTATCGCCTTAGCAAAATGCCTACGTTTCCCACTGCAATGGCCCATTCTCAACTCATTTCTCTTTTGTTGTACACGAGTTATAGATGCTTGTGTTGTTATTGCTTAAAATACAATCTGATTTATGGTACAAATGGGCAAGGTTTTTAAGGATTAAAAGGAAAAAAATTGTATAGGTCTTCTGGACGGGTTCTTCTTTAATGAAACGTTTCGTCTCTCTTCCAAGAGACTTCTTCAGTCTGAGAGTTTCAGGC